ACAAACAAACAAAAAAACAATCCTTTGTTTGTTTGTAGTTAAGCACAAACCTACACAATCGGCTATCTATTCTGTTCTCACCGTGGGTATCGAAATCCGGTTTTTAGCGTTACAAGCCTTCAGACTTGCCGCTGAGCTACTAGGGCCGCTAATCAATTATACAGATAAAACCACTGTATCTTTGTTAAGTTCATGAAGATTTCAGGACTCTTCACTATATGAAAGAGACAACAATACTTCATTCAGCCTAACAACCTGAACGAAGAAAGTATACTTTCTGTCTATCACATGTCACAATAACCGGGAAGTTTTCCATATGTCTATGTTTATTGTTTATGTTTATAGAAAAACCAAAAATTCCAATTTCTTGCTAACTTCTAATGCTTAATTTTGAAAATGTTTATATTCAGTTATTCACTACAGAAGAGGAAATATGTGTGTATATATATATATATATATAGTTTCTGGGGAACTAATACCTGAAATGTGTATTAGGTGCAAAGTAGAATAACATAAAATATATTATATTTCATGCGATATTTTTATAGCACATGCGGTATGACTCTGATTTATCTGAGTAAAAAACAAAATATACGTTTTCTTTAGTAAATTTAGTATAGATAATGTGAAATTAATTATAGTTCAATTCATAGGTAACACATGAGATCCTTTGGATAACGGTTCATGCAACCAACTGGATTTACTAACTTTTGACGCGTGGTAAAATCCACGGATGGTTGAATTGACTGAGAGATAATGCGTATTTGTGATAACTTACGAATTTTCTCTATGGGAACCAACAGTCAATGATAGTGGCAGTTGATTCATCTTGATATTACGGGTCGTCACGTTTGTCTCTGTATACGCTCAGAACGCGGACCTCAGGGAGAGCTGTTTACACGCGGACCTCGGAGAGACTGCTGACTTCAATTCAATCTGCCTCTGCTATGCCTTCGATTCTGCCCACTTGTCTCAATATTACGATTTTTATTTTAATTCATTTTTTCGCCCACTTGGCCCATTAGAACGACGACCACTTTACAAACTTCTAATCTTTAACATCGAGCATGGTGAAGGAAGATTGCTAATCTTCGAACACCCTTGGTGATTAATCGTTTTTCTATAAACTATTAACTTTACACCAAAATAGCTGCCATAGACCATAGACTGACTTCAATTCCAAATGTTCTGTCGAAGTTTGGTTTGTTTATGCTGATGTAAAATGATTTTTTGATTTTCAATGTTTTCCAAAGTTGTTATTTGTCAAGAATCTTGCAACTGCTCCAGTGGATCTTGTGTTCTGTTTCTATAACATGTTCTCCAATAATCGAATTTTGTGTTTTCATGAGTCTGATATGGTGTCGGTGTTCATCAAAGCGTCTACCAGTTTCTCAAATGTTAGGATTCATTGCGAGAGCAGGGGATTTAAGAAATGACGTTTCTGTAGAAATTAATGGGTGGTTTCTGTTTAAAGTGAGTTAAAATTAAAAGAAAGGTTTTCTTCAACTTCCATCTGGCTGATAGATGTTTAGTTCGGATTAATCCCAGTACTTTCTAATTCAAAGTGTGCATCATTTGAAAAATATAATCACATATGGAACGACTGAACATCGTTAGATTCTTTATGGTTTCAACACTACTGCCATAACATTTTTTGACTGGTAATAACTAATAAGAAAAGGCCTGCGATAATAACTACCCAAATTTGGTTCTGATGATAACTCAATAACTTTTGCTTGCCATAATCATATTGAAACTATCATCATAATCTGAGGTTAACAGTTTTACCTTATTGAAAATTACATTACTGACTGCAAGAGATGTGAATCCGTCTTCCTGAATTTCTGTAATGACTCATTTCTTCGTGTCAGACTTCCTGCAGTGAAAAGAAATGTAAATAAAACAAATATTGATAATAGTCGTAACGCCGTCTAATTTGTAAATACACGAAAGACTAAACAAATAAACAACCTCTTTAAGCCAGTTCCGCATTTTTTATTAGATCGCTACTCTTGAAATTATAAAACAAGGTAAACGTTTTTTACGGATTTTAATAGGTTACAAAAGCGTAGAAATGTACAAAATTAAACTAATTATGTGGAATGAAATAATTTGATTTTACAAGGAATAGGTTTGGTTTTGAATTTCGCGCAAAGCTACACGAGGGCTATGTGCGCTAGCCGTCCCTAATTTAATAGTGTAAGGCTAGAGGGAAGGCAGCTAGTCATCACCATCCACCGCCAACTCTTGGGCTACTCTTTTACCAACGAATAGTGGGATTGACCGTCACATTATAACGCCCCGACGGCTGAAAGGGCGAGCATTTTTGGTGGGACGGGGATTCGAACCCGCGATCCTCAAATTGCGAGTCAAGCGTCTTAACCTTCTGGCGATTTTACAAGGGAAGGTACGGAATGGCCATATTAGTACTACTGTGTTTTCTTGCAAATGAAATATCTCGGATGTCCTTCGGTGGGTCAGAGGTAAGTTTAAGGACTTACAACGCTAAAATCCGAGGTTCAATTCCCAACGGTGGACACAGTGCATATAGCCCATTTGTAGCTTTACGTTAAAAACAAATAAATATATCACACCAACAGATATTTCGCACTTGAGCTGCATGCAATAAATATAAAGAATTGTAATTAAGTAATTATGATTTTTTTTACAAATTCGTAACGATTTTCCAGACAGATAAAAGTGAAACATTATGTATGAAGTTCACAAGTTTCTTAATTTTGTGTTCTTTAGCTCAAAGAATGTCTATTTTAGATCATAAAAAGGCTAATAACCTTAATTTTTTTTTACGTTAAATTAAGTATTTGCATATTTGTGTTGAATATTCAACAAGTAACGTTTCGGGTATCAGTGGATTAAGTACGTTATGTTAAAACGACTTTTAGTATGCGAGTTAGCAGGTCACGTGACAACCACAAATTGCAAAAAGTCGCAGTAGAACGGAATGTATCAGAACTACATTTCAATAATGTTTTCGTTTCGTAGGTAGTGTGATGCCCCCGAAAACTGATCGTTTTGAGGAAGGATATTGTATTACTGTGCATAGCCCTGTTCATAGTAAAATATTCATACATTCAGATCGTACTACCTTTAAGGATTTTTAAATTCTAAGACGGAGATATCCCTTGTACTTAGTGACATTGGAAAACAAAGGAATAGAATTAACTTGGGTACCAGGATTTTCAAAAAGAACTCTCAACAAGTCGTACCCCAACTGTGATAAAGTGCAACGTCTTGAAACAGGTGATAACCTACTTGTTCCAGACAACAGTACGTAAGATAATAATGAAGGATCTCTGACTTAAAAAACGACATAAGTCATTTGTACACAAGCTGATTCCACGATATATCATGCTATTACATACAGAGGTCATATTGTTGAAACAGCGCCTAGGAAACTGTTATTCTCGTACATTAGATGGATTATGGAAAGCATGCAAGGAGAGATGTGTTTTGGATATAACAACCTTACGATGGATTTTTTTTTCAATGGAAACTACGTTACAGGGCTATTGTCAAGATGTACAGCCGTCAGATAGAGCATGAATGGACGTGGCGGATATATATATATACAATTTATAGAAAGATAAATGAAGGTTTAGGATGAAAATAAGTTAATTTAGATTGTTCATAAAAGCACCAAAACAACTCGCAGTCGTCGTCTTTTAAGAAAAAATAACAGTATCGGGTTGAGCACCTTACATTTCTGTTTGTTTTTGCTAAAACATTCTCATGAAAGCTAAAAGAACTGTGTCCACCAGGTGGAATCGAACCCCTGATTTTAGCATTGTAAGTCCGTAAACGTACGCTGTCTCACCAAGGGACTGGAGAAAGTGAAAATCGCGCAGTTAAAAATGTGGAATGAACTACTTTCTTGTACAATGTCGAGAGAGAGAGAGAGGTTTTTAACGATTCATATATTTTGGGACCATGTGTGTTGGTTGCATTTCTTAAAGCAATGAAAGAGGCTGATAAGACTAGAAAATTAATATAACTTTAAGTGTTATGAATAGGTCATCCTAAACTTCCAAATCCCGATGATTGTTTCGTGAAACTATACTAAGAAAACAATTATTTTCGACGTTATAAAAGTTTTCTCAACAAATGAAAGTGTTTTGTATACTCTGTCATTTATGTGTGTGTCATTTCGGAGAATGTTAAGTAGAAATTAAATTGACCTCTATTTGGTACCCTAGTGGAGTTAAAATATACGTATGTGATTGAACTTTAGCTTGGTCATATGGGCATTTAAAAAAAAACTTTATTGATTGTCTAGGACCTGGCGTGGATTAATAGTAAGCGTACCGGATTACGTATCGAAGTGTTCGGGGTTCATCACCTGACACTATCGAATACGATCTGCACTTTTAACTTTTTACGCGTTATAAAAGTGACAGTAAATCCCAGGTTCATATCCCATCTAGTGGTAGGACTTTTGACTTTGCAGAATTAGGGATGAATATATCTCACCCCTAGGGTCTTTCACCCAGCCATTTATCAGATTAGCGCATAAGGTACCGTTCAGGCTGAAAATATTATTTTCAGTGTTTAGTTCTGGGTGACTTTACACACGTCAAGTAGGGCCTGGTATGGCCTGGTGGTTATGGCACTCGACTCGCAATATGCGGGTCACGAGTTTGAATCTCTTCACCGAACTTGCTCGCTCTTTTAACCGGAGGAGCGTTATAATGTGGCGGTCAATCACAATTTTTGTTTGGAGAAAAGTAGCTCAAGGGTTAGTGGTGGTTCGTGTTGACTAGCTGCCTTCCATCTAGTCTATCACTTATAAATTCGGGAATGTTAGCGCAGATAGCCCTCGAATAGCTTTGCATGAAATTCCATAATATAACAAAAAAAACACGCCAAGTAGAGATTTCTTCTAAAGGGCAGTGCTGTAAAGGCAGAAGCTTTGCGATCTAAATTAGTTTTGAATCGCTTCAGAAAGGATTATCTTATTTATGTGTTTTCATTTCATTTTACAGTTTACTCCTTGGGAAATTCCAGACTAACTCTATGCTCCAGCACGCCCTTGTCTTTCAAATCGGCTTCATTTGACCTTGTGGATGAAAGTATTCAAGTGGACTTGTCGGCAGACATTATTATCTATGATTCAGATGATAACATGGTGAAAAAGAAGGTAAGTCTTCTCCGCAACAAAAAAGGGCACCCTATTTATTCCAGAGAAGACATCAGGGAGCAGTATTGCATTACCCAGAAAGAACTGGAAGTCTTAGAAAATGCTAAAAGAAATCGACTTTTTAGTTGTTTGGCGGGACAGTCAAATATTTTTTGTGACAGTACTTCCTCGATTTTTTCTTGCATTGCTAAGAATAGAGCCTCTAGTGAAGAGAAACTCAACAGACCTTTACCTTCTTTTAGTTCCAGTACATGGTCGAATCATCATCCTGGACTCAGTGGTGCTGGAAACTTCTCTGATGATGATGATGAATTTCTCGAGACTAGTTTTCGTCGAAGACCGAAATCTGTCTGTCTTTCAGACTCCAAATTTCGGTTGGCATTGCTAGTTGACGAGTGTGGAAGGACAAAGAATCAGATAAATAGTCCAAATTTCGAAAGCTCGGGAAGTCTAGGGAGTTCTAGTCATTGTAGTGCAAATAGTAAATCTGTTAATAGAGGGCTGGGTTTTACCAGACCTTACCAGCTACAGCTGGGAAGCAAAGATGGATCTAGTTTCACACCAAGCCAAAGTGTGGACTCACTGAGTGAAGATCTTCAAAGAAAAGAGGATGCACAGGGACCTCAGGTCGAGAAAAGGATCTCCAAAACTCCAGATTTATCTGTGGATGAACGTAAACAGAAGCATGTTAGTTTTGACTCGTCTTCTTTAGTCCGCAGTAACACAATTAGTGAAATAGAAACTGAAGACAATGAAACCGTTTCTGTTACCTCCATAGTAAATGCTCAAAAAAATACTACACCCAATTCAGAACAAAATAGGTCACATGAGCGTCTATTAGATACTCCACTGAAGTTTTCAATTGAAATGGGAGATGACAGGCTTTTAACTAACCAGTCATCACAGATTAATAGCAAATGCAACATTTTGGGGAGACAAAAAAAAGCCCCCATGAGGGCGCAAGCAACACAAACTGATGCCTCAGTTAACATTCGTTTCGCAATTCCTGCATATTTAACTTTATCCCCTCGAGCAACAGCTCCACCTGAACAATGGCATCACGGAAGTCAATACAACAGCTCTAGTGTACTGAATAAAACTCATTCGTCCTGTGATAAGTTGGACAAAGACGACAGCGAAGAAGAGTTATTAGAGGTGGACCTAACTACTAAGCAACATCGGTTTCTAAGTGTCATTAAACAGAAGATTGCTCAGGAAGAGAGAGCCATTGATGCAGATAGTGAGGCAGAAATAATGGTGTCTTTCAAACCCTACCATCCTTCTGAACAAAACAAAGAAGAAGGTAAAGATTCATGCAGTGTTCAAGATGTTAAGCAACATCACAAAACGCTCTGTCGCAAGTTATCTCTTGAAAGTGCAAAAAGTTATTACTTGAAAAGGTTGTGTGACCCTTATGGAAACTTACTTCAGCAATCAGTTCACAAAAAGTTTCACGATTCTCTCGTAAGCTATTTTAAAAAACAGTCCATAGACCAAGAAACGTTTAGAGCCGATGGTGAAAAGAAAAACGAAAACAGTCAGGAGTTAATCAAACAAAAGGAATTGGACATAAAATTGCTTCCAATTGGCTCTTCCAAAGAAGATGTCGATTTTATATCTGTTGTTTCCGAGACAGGTGGAGAACTGGCAGACTGTGTTCAGAAAAGCTTTAAAGGATACGCCACAGGGACTAACCTGAATCTTCTCAATCAAAGCGCTCCTGTGAAATACATTTTAGAACAAAGTCAGGAGTCACCATCTGTGACAACAGATGCTACTTTACAACGTGAAAGTTTTCCACGAACAACTATAAGCACACCCACGTGTTCACTGTACGAGGATATACCTGAATTTGATAGCACAGGATGTGGGACAAACAGTGATGGTATTGTTTCTCCTGATAGTGAGTCGTCTAGCAGCCATTTCACTGAACAAGAAACATCTCGCAGTGACATGTCAACCAGCAGCTCTAACTTTGCCATCAGAAGCGAATTGTCTAACAGAAGTGAAACAGAGTGCGAAGAAATCAGTGCAAGTTCAGAGTATGTTACAGCAAATGAACATTCAAATCAAGAAAGGGAGAATCGTGATGTAAAACTCACCATCGTGAGTAATAATAACAGTTCATCATCCACAAGATGTCGTAAAACTGATTCTTCATTATCTTCTAACAGTCATGGCTTACGTAGAAGAAAAAGAACTCAACCATTCGCCGGAGGAAAGAAATCAGAACATGTAGTTAGGTACGTCACGGTAACCAAAAACACAATTATACATCTTCTCTCTAGTAATAATTCGACAGATCATGTGGACTCGTCTGAAGAATCAACAAAGAAAGAATTTTCCAGTTCCGACTCAGAACTTGGAAAAATTCCAGAAATACCAATCTACGAAGCTGCTATAGAAGACGAATGTGATCATACTGGTGACGTCACTCCTGTACTGGCACCTTCCCCTGACCCCTCTAGTATGCAAGATGCAACGACTGTAATTGAAAACAGAAGTGATGGGACTTCAGGAGATTTGGTAGAATCGTTACACGACTCTCTAGGATGCCAACTGGAAAACATGACTGACTCTGATTCACAAGAAATCGAACCAAACCCAGTGTTAGATCAGGAATCAAATATAGAAATTGATAAAACGACGCAAAAGAGAGTTAAAATCTCTGAAGAAGTTGTATCATATGGAGACTTAACAGAAAGGCCCTCACAAGATGATGACAGCTCCGCTGGCCAAATTAACCAACACGTTCACATCGTTTGTAATAGGAAAGATGAGATATCAGATCAGCTACCCAATCAAAATGTGGAGAAAGTTTCATCTTCATCAGAATATGTCTTTTCCGAAGCAACCACGCCGAGTTTAGATAGCAGCACATCTGAAAGTTTCATATTGGACAACGGTGTTGATCCTAGGTCCGAAATGGATAAGTATCAGTTTGACGAAATTAAAGAACTCGATGACAACTTTGAAGGTTTCATCCAGGATATATGTCCTTCGGAACTCGACCAAATAAAGCCAAGAGTTAGCGTTTCGCCCACGAAAAGTTCCGAAAGCATCGATACAGATAAAGACATCCCTTCGGAGGTGACGTCAAGTAAGACTGATTCACCTGCTCCAGCAGATAACCAGAGTTCTCATTCTACATCTACTACTCACTCTCGTGATAACGAAGGTGCTATACCAAAGCACACTTCTGTGTACCATGAGATTATGAGACTTCGACGGAGAGACCGAGAAAAGCCACGACAAGTTGTAGTAACACCAGAGGACTCTGACACTCATCATTGTCTAATACTAGAAAAATCACAAAACAGATGTTCTGTGTTAAATATGCCATCATATGTTAGAAAAGATTTTCGTAGCTATATATGCAACTATTGTGGTGATAAGATCACTCAGCAGGACCAACTTTCAGCGCCATCTGTTGGTCATGAAAGACACTTCTGGAAACCCTCAATTCACAATGTTCAGCCTATGATTCGAAAAGCTCGAAACAGAGAAACATCAAAACATACATTCGATGAACAATATGGAAGACAAGGACATAAATACACTTGTCAGTCAAGATGGGACAACGCCATCTCAAGTGTAGAAGCTGGGATTCTTGAAGACGAAGAAAAGGATGCTGGTAAAGTATTAAAATAGACACATTTGCAATACTTTGTAGCATGAATTAATTAATAAATAACTCCATGAGTTCATTTAAACATTCGCTTCTCCTGGAAACATTTTCAACACGGCAATTCAAAGGAGAGGAACACATAAATAGTAATGAACCACTTAAATTATTTGAACGCTCAATAAATTGTACAAAGCAAAATAATCAGATAACTACTTAAGCTTTCTCAAGAACTCGAATCTAACGTTATATAATTCCACGGTAATTAGGAAAACTTAAATAAATATTAAGGTTCATAATTAATAAAATACACGCTACAATTATGGTGTTAAATATGTAAATCAATAATGCAGTCTTTCAGAGTGCTACAATGATAGTAAAATTCATGACATATCAAACAATGTAAATGTTAATTTACACACTGTTATTGTCGAAAGAGTGATAAGAAAGTATTTGACGATACCATGTTAGAATAATAATAAATGTTAAGCCACGTTTTGCTAGAATAATAGTACAATACGTGCTATGTACTCCAAAATAATAAAACAGACGATGTTAGGCTAGAATATTTAAACAATACGTGCCATGTTACGCCAAAATAATAAAACAAACAATGTTAGGCTAGAATCTGCGGGTCACGGGTTCGAATCCCGTCCCACCAAACATGCTCGTCCTTTCAGCCGTG